TCAAAGAACATCCTTTTATCCAAAATGCAGCCAGAGAAGAGGCCATGAGACAAAGGCAGGCAGCCATGGTCCAAGCTGCTACTTCTGAGAAGCAATGATGCTGGCATTTCAGGAAAAGGGAACGTGGGTGTAAGGCTGGGAAAGCGTAGGCAGTCAGGCCTGCCGCTCTCCCTCCTCTTACAAACAAGAGAACAAATCGAACATGGGCACCCTCTTTTGATCCACGCTCAGTTTGAATCCTTAACAGATTTGGCATTGTTTACAGGCAACGGGGAAAAAAAAACACGTCATCAAGTCAGTTCATGGTGACCCCACAAGCTTCAGAGTGAAAACGTGCTTCACGGGTGCTCGGGGTCTACGATCGTTGGCAAGTAGTTCACCAGGCTTCTCTTCCGAGGTCCAGTGGATCTGAACCACCCGCCTTTTGCTTGGCAGCCCAGTGCCTAACCGTCTGCACCGCCCAGGGACGCCACAGGATACAAAGGAGAACACAAAAGGACCTGAATTCTAACAGTTATGTTTTCAAAGTTACAGCTAAAGGGAATGGGAAAGAGGCAAGATGACCAAACAGAAACTGTTTCAAAACATTTTAAACATTGTTCTTAGAATAAGCAAAGGGCCTGGGTATCTACATAACGTCAACAAGAAGAAAAAAGGAACCCTGGGTGTTGCAATGATTAAAGCACTCAATGCCAGCCCAAAGGTCAGTGGTTTGAACTAATCAGCCACTCCACAGGAAAAAGATGTAGCAGTCCGCTTCCATAAAAACTGACAGCCTCGGAAACCCTAAAGGGTGGCTATGAGTCCGCATCCACTCAAGACCATTGGTTTTCCAGAAGGTGGGGAGGGGGGAAAATCAACTTAGGTTTCATGGCTCCCCCTCGTGGGCATTAAAAGCAATGCAAGTGATTCACATCAAAATCTCAGATTAAAGAGTAGTTTCAACCAAATCTCCTTAAAAGCTGGCTGGTACATTTAACCAATACCAATACCAACAGTCACCAATAACACACAGTGTGTCCTCAAATAACACTCAGACTTTCAGAGTGTATCATCTCCGAAGGCTCGTAACTTCATCAATCCAATTAGTCCCTTCAACTCTGTCTATAGCTGCCTTTGAAAGGTCTGGACAGCAGCTCCCACTCTCCACAAACCCACGTGCCCTCCTCCAACCAGAAAACCTTCACTGTGCTCTTGTCATGTGCCAGCCAGCCAGCCAAACGCCTTGGCACGTGAGGGACTAAGATGAATAAGGCATATACCACACACTCCAGCCAGCTGGTCTAGCTTTTGCTCCACAGCCCTATTTTGTTCCCGAATATGCCACCCAAATATGTCTCTCTTTATCTTCTCTTTCCCTTTACCTCTTCTGTCTCTTCTCGGGTCTCCAGCCAGCTCCTTCCTCAATCCCTCCAAAGATAGGGTTCCTCACACTTGCCAGACTGCAAACCCAATTTAAAAGCAAGGCTCTGTGGGGCAGTTATGCATACTGTAACGAGTACTCCACTGACGACCCAATCCAGGGCACCGTTAAGCAAAGCCCTCTCTCTCCCTGTGCCTGTTTCCCCATTGCGGTAAACTACTGCCTACTGAATACCAAACCAAACCAAAAACCAAACTCACTGCCGTGAAGTTGGATCCGACCCATAGCGACCTCTCCTTGGGTTTCCGAGGCGCTATCACTACGGAAGTAGATTGCCCAACCTTCCTTTTGAGGGGTAGCTGGTGGGTTAGCAGCCAAACGCCTTAGGCACTGCGCCACCAGAGCTCCCTACCGAATACCAGTTAAGTACTTAATGCTCTTATCTCATTCGATCCTAACTCCCCCAAGTCAGTACCACCAGCAGCCCCATTAAGTTGGGAAAACTGAGGCCCAGAAGCTTAAGGAAGTTGTCCAAGATCACAAAGTTGGGTTAAGTGACATCCACATTGAAGCTTAGATCTGATGGTCCTATGCTTTTTAACCAACCTGTGCTCTCAATCCTGCACCATAACGCCCCAAGTGGGGCTGACTGAAGATATTTCCGGGGGGGAGGACGGCACCTTGGGAACCAGGAGGCCAAAGTGGGCTTTGCTCTGGAACTAAAATGGGAGGGGGCTTACTCACTGCACTCAAATCGATGGCTTTCCCCTTCCTTCCATCGGAGACCAGAGCCTCCACTAGGGACTGGGTGTGGGAGCGAGAGTCTTAAAGGGACCTCCAGCTCTGACAACAACTCCCTAAGTTGCATCTCCCCATAACTGCAGGGTTCAAGATACTCAGGGATTTCTACCACCCCCAACCGGGATGGAAGTAACTTCCCGAAGCCCCGCTGCTCCCAGGGCCCCTCCGACCCGCCCGACGCCCCCGGAGGTCACCCCGCCCCTCTCCCAAACAGCCCCACCGCTTCGCCAAGGGATACCACCTCCGCCCCGGGCTACCCTGCGAGCAAGAGGACGCACCTTCGTCCGACTCGCGGCCCCGGCAGCTGCGCTCATCATCGTCGGCGCTCTCCAGTTCTTCGTCTTCCTCGGGGTAGTACTCCGGAGCCGCCGGCGCTGCAGTCGGGGCCGGGGCTGGAGCCAAAAGCCCCGCGGCACTCATGTCGCCTCGGGTCGTGGCAGATTGTGCCACCGGGAGACCGCGGCCACCCGCACTGGGAACTCTACGTCCGCCCAGCAGCACCCGAGGGGACCGCCAACTCGAGCGGGAGCCGCGGCGCCCCCTTCCCGGTCTCCAGCGAGCTCCGCCCCCCGCGCCCGCGCTCGGCAACGGGGGCCTCGCGCCGACGGCGACTTCCGGGTCGCGAGCTGCCCGAGGACCGCCTGACTCCGCCGTGCTTGAGGGAGAAGAGACGACATCGCGACGCCTCCTTCGCTTAAACTTCAGCCTCTTCATCGCCGCCCAAAGATCCTCAACGCTATGGTAAGGAGCGGCAGAGGCAGACTCTCTAGAGTTAGGCAAGTCCAAGGGCAGGCTTAGCCATGGCCAGGACCCCAAAGCCCAGAGGCGACTTCAATAAATAGCCACCAGGCGGCGCCTGGAGCCAGAACTAGAGTGAGCGTCGTTAGCGGCCTGAAGGACAGCGTTTTTAAGGGGCTGTTGGCAGGTGAGGGTGCTTTCTTTAATCAAAGCAGGTTAATCACATGAACTGTACCCTTTATAGGTCGGGAAAGCTGGACATCCAGAGTTTGAGGGCTTAGAAAAAGACGAGGCAAAATCTTCCCCCAATTGGAGCTTTTAGAACTAAATGGATGCTGATGTTCTAGCCTAAGCTCAGCAAAATGGTGGGAGCCATTTCTCTTTGTACCAAACGAAAAAACCAAACTCACTGTCCTGCAGTCGGATCCGACTCATGGCGACCCCTCCTTGGGTTTCCCAGGCGGTGTCACTGTGGAAGTGGATTGCCCAACCTTCCTTTGGAGGAGTGACTGGCTGGGTCGAACCGCCAGCCTTACGGTTAGCAGTCAAATGCCTTAGGCACTATGCCAGGCTTACCTAAAAAAGGTGTTCTCCGGATCTTACAGGCGAGAAAACATAAGCCACTTGCCTAAAAAAAGTGGTAGCGTCCAATCTCCCTTGTTTAGACCTCCCAACGCAAGCCCTCCACAGCACAGATGGCTTCATATTTCCTTAAATACTAATATTTTAAAAGGTTACGTTGCCCAATCCAATAATTTGCTAATCAGCTCTCAAACGAGCATGTGGTATATTTGCCTACAGGAAATTAATTTGGCTAAAGTGAGGAAGGTCCTGTGTGGAAAATCAGGCCACAAGAGTCTCCTACCTAGTAAATCAATTTATGTGAGTCTCTTTGAGTAGAAGGTGACATAGTGTTAAAGTTTTGGTTAAGGTACCAATCTAGGGTGTCCATTTTTCTGAGAGTAGTGTGCTCTAGAGTGTAGCAAGAAAAAGGATAAGGGAAAGAGTTCAGAGATGTTTAAGCGTTTCTCCATAATAGGAAAACTGCACCCTTGCCACTCAAATCTCAGTAGAAAAATAACTTGCACAGTAAAGTTGAACATGTGGAAAAGCCAGGGGAAACAGTCCTGTTGGCGTCAGTTGATTCCTACTCATAGTGACCCAATGGGACAAAGTAGAACTGCCCTATAGGGTTTCCCAGCCCGTAATCTTTCCGCCACATCTCTCTCCCTTGAAGCAGCTGGTGCATTCCAACCACCTCGAGGTTAGCCATCGAGCGCTTAACCACTGCACCACCAAGGATCCTTGTTGTTGTTGTTATGTGCCATCGAGTCGGACCCGACTCATAGCAACCTCTCCTTGGGTTTCTAAGGCAGTATCACTACAGAAGTAGATTGCCCCATCTTCCTTCCGAGGAGTGCCTAGTGGGTTTCAACCACCAGCCTTCTGGTTAGTAGTCAAGTGCCTTAGGCACTATGCTACCAGAGCTCCTCCAAGGTTCCTTAGTCTCTTAAAAATGAAAAATTTTACTCTCACCCATTTATATTATTGTTAATTTTTACCTTGTTTAAATTAAACCCTTGGCTGTATTTGTAAGGGCTATTTCCTTCCAATAAAACTCAAGAATTTCCAGAATGGAATGCTGTGATGTTTTACTAATAGTTTTGGGGACTCGAGGATCTTCTCAATTGCTTGCAAAGAGTCATTCTTAGAGCTCACTGTAGCACCACCATCTATATTTAAACTAAAATTTCAGGACTATCTGTTGTCCAAAGAATGAAGTCATTTTCTTCTCTGTGCTGTTGGATCACTTGTAAAATATTTGTAATGGACCATCTTGAGCAATCTGAGTTCCTATCACTAACAGTAATCATAGACTAAAAAAGCATCGACAACATTTTAGCAATTTTTGTTGTTGTTAGGTGCCATCAAGTCGGTTCCGACTCTTAGCGACTCTGTGTACAACAGAACGAAACACTGCTTGGTGCTGTGCCATCCACACAGTTGTGGCTGTGTTTGAGCCCATCGTTGCAGCCGCTGTGCCAGTCCATCTTAGTGAAGGTCTTCCTCTTTTTCGTGGACCCTCTTCTTTACCAGCGAACAAGCAGAACACTCTTAACAAGATGGCCTGACACAGTGGCTGCAACGATGGGCTCCGGCACAGCTAGGACAGTCAGGATGGCTCAGGACCTCACCGTGTTTCACTGTTGTACACGATGTCCTTCTCCAGGGACTGGTCCCTTCTGATAACATGTCCAAAATACATGAGATGAGGGCTTGCCAAACTCACTTGTGAGGAGCATTCTAGCTGCACTTCTTCCAAGACAGATTTGTTTGTTCTTCTGGCAATCCATGGTACAGTCAATATTCTTCCCCAACCATAATTCAAAGGCATCAATTCTTCTTCAGCCTTCCTTATTGTCTGTCCAGCTTTTACATGCATATTTTAGAAATTAGAGTTGATAGTGTAAAATCTGTGAAAGCCGTGATCTTTGTAAGGTAGAAACCTGCCAGAGAAGGAAAACACAAGTATTTTGCACCAAACTGAGCAATAGAAAAGTGGTAAGACTGCACCGTCAAAGGCAGAAAACCTGAGAGACCCAGAAAAACGAGACAGTACTGTCGAGTTCCGGCTCTCACAGCTTTCACTGAATAATAAATCAAGTAAACGAAGAGTTGATTTCATTGCTAACTGGTTTCTTTTCTGGACACTGAGTTTTTATCTTGCTTATGTTTCATTCCTGTATCTATCTTCCCGATTGCTAATAACATCTGTTGATGGTCATGCATTTGTTTTATATGTAATGAGTAGATAGGAGTGAACACTGGAGTGGTGAAAACTTAACCCTATTGTCTTCTGTCCATGCATAACTGGTAGGAAAGACTATTAACTAATAAATGATCTTTAATGAAGGGAGACCTGGTGAAAAATTCTTAAGGTTTTGGTTTTACCCAACTTTTATTTAATATAATGGCTATGGACAGTTTTCTTTGGGCCTGAAAAAAAACAATTTCCTTCAAAACCAAGTTCTCTCACCTTCAGATTGCTAAAACAGTACTCAGCCACTATGCAGGAGACATCTTAACACTCAAAGGGGAGCATCATAATTAGAATAGGGTTTGAACCGCCAGCCTTCTGGTTAGCAGTCAAATGCCTTAGGCACTACGCCACCAGAGCTCCCTATGATTTATAAACACTAGGGAAAACATACATTTATGGTTTAGAACACAAATTTAGATTGTGTCAGCTGGAAGTGAAACAAAAAGAATTAATGATATGGAGTTTTCTGAGCACTAAGGCCTATATAGGGGCTCTGGTGGCATCATGCCTAAGACATTTGACTGCTAATCAGAAGGCTGGCAGTTCACACCCACCAGCCACTCATCAGAAGGAAGTTTGAGCAATCTACTTCTGTAGAGATCCAAACCAAAACCAAACTCACTGCCATTGAGTCGGATCCAACTCCTAGTGATCTCTCCTTGACTCAAGGAGGGGTTGCTATGAATTGAGGTCGACTTGAGGGCAGTGAGTTTGTTTTTTGTTGTTTTTTTGGAAGGCTTATACATGATAAGGCTTATGATTAAAATATGTTCTTGAAATCATTTCATTAAACGGTAATTTGTCCAAATCCTTGTTTATTTTGGGGTTCAGGGGTAAGCATACTAATTTTGTTTCCAGTACTGATTTAATCAACTTTCCCTGTTTCATAAAAATACAAGGAATGGCTCTGGGTAACACAGTGCACTTTCCACCCTGGCAGGCACCCCTGGGTCAAGCTAGGTCTCTGATTATTACAGGTTACACTTGGAGCCAAAGTGCCTTACACTTTGCCCATTAGTTCGATTAGTAAAATCTGTGCTCCTGGAAAATAGTATGTTGGATAGGTTTACTGAAGCCTTGCTAAAGCTAACAAGGGTTGCCCTAACACAGTTACTGTTCCTACCATTTTAATGACATTATCACAAGTTCAAAATCCACAAAGTGAATAGGTGGATATGTAAAAACATTTCAAAGTGATTATTTCTGAAGTGTTGCCCTTGTACCTATGAAAATATGCCCTAGCACGGTTGGACATAGTAGACATCCAGCACAAAAAAACAAACTAATTCACTGCCCTTGAGCCGGATCTGACCCTTAGCGACGGCTCCTTGGGTTTCCGAGGCAGTATCACTAAGAAAGTAGATTGCCCAGCCTTCCTTCCAAGGAGTGGCTGGTGGATTTGACCCGCCAGCCTTCTAGTTAGCAGTCAAATGCCTTAGGCACTACGCCACCAGAGCTCCTACATATATATATATATACACACACACATACATATATATATATAAAAAACTCATTGCTGTGGAGCCAAATCCGACTCATAGCAACTCCTCCTTGGATTTCCCAGGTGGTATCTCTACGGAAGAAGATTGCCCAGTCTCCGTTCGGAGGAGCGGCTGGTGGGTTTGAACCACCTACCTTCTGATTAGCAGTCAAATTTTTTTTTACCGCCAGCAACATTAAACTCACTTCTCTTGAACGCAATGGAAAGAATGGCAACTCCTCTGCCAGATAAATAAAAGGGTTTAAATCCAGGAAATATTTTCAAGTTCTAGGCGAATAAATGCTGTATTAATGACATAATTAGTTAGAAAGCTGTGCAAGGGCTAACAGAATAGAGACAGCTCCAAAGGCTCTAACTTGGTGGTCCAGCAGAGTCCCAAAGGGCCTTTCTTGGCCTATAGGAGTCTCCCAGGAAAAGTTAGGCGTGGGGAGGAGTGACATGAACTTTGACCCCCAGAAAAGCGCAAACAAG